CCAACAAATGACGGGTGGCTTTTAAACCATTTAACCGTCTGAGTACTGAATTCAGAAGCGGTGGGACTGACGACCAGACTCACTGAGTTTCTGGAACCTGTTCTTCACACAGGAACGTTTTCTGTCCTACAAACAACTTTGCGCTGCTGAAAATAGATCAGATCGGTGTCCGCTAGCAGAAATAACTCAGACACAGCCTAGAAACCCAGCAGCACAACGTGCAGCCGTCAAACGAGTGCATTGTGACTCATTATGAGGCCACAGCTAAGACAGAGAGAGCAACAAATAGAAAGTGTCTGTTGCCAGTGAGTTTCCATCACTTTCTATTAGATGAACAAAGAGTCACAAACTCAGCAGCACAACACAAACACACAGAGCTTCAACCAACCAGCAGCACAAAACAAGCGACTAAGAAGGGAGAGATGAGCAAGACTCAATCTGGAGGTTCAGTTATTCTGGTTCAGAAGTTTCCGTCCGTCCGTCCGTCCATCCATCCATCCATCCATCCATCCATCCTTTAAAAGTGCACCAGAAACCCCTGAACCTCTACTGGACCTAACACAGAGCATGAAGAAATTTTTTCCCCAGAATGGATCCAGATAGTGTTCCAACTATTTATTGAAAAAAAAAAAAAAAAAAAAAAAAAAGATCAACCGAAGACTCCAAATAAACCCAGTTGCTCAGACTGGGTTCCCAGCTTTGCAGGACAGGTTTTATTCTTTAGGCTTCATAAAACATTTCAACGCGACTCGCTTGGAGAAACGACTCACCTCGATGAGCCACGGCTTCAGTTTGTCGTCGATGATGATGTCATACCCGTAACACTCAAAACAGTGCTTGTCATTGTTCATCACAGGCTGACAGGGGAGAAAACACAGACTGAATCAGCAAAACCAACAATTTTTTATTTGTTTCATCATTTATTATCAGACAACCAGAGTATAAATACACTACACAGCTATCAGCAGCAGATGCGTTGATGCCTTTGAGAGGAAGTGAGTAAGAGCACTTATTTAAAAAAGGAAGTGTGTTTAGTGTCCTGTGGGCTAAAAACAATACAAAGACATGCAGGTGGTTTTACAGATCTCAGAAATCAGACGGCCTTTTGCCACATTTAAAAAAAAGCAACGTTAAAGGTATCGGATTCTGCCTGCACAAGTTTAAATTATAACAACAAAAAAAACGTAGTTAGCACCTGCAGCTGTCTAATAATATTCTGCTTTTTAGAGGTGTAATATTTCATTGGTGAAACGTTTATGTTTTCTGCCAGAGGTGCATACAAGGAAGTATCTGCAAACAGGTTCAGCAAACTGAAAGGTGATTACACAATATGGATAAGTGAGTGCAAGACTTCCCCAGTGATGAAAGAGTGAGGAATAAATATTTACAAAAGCATTCATATGTCTTGAACAAACTTCAATGTGTTACGTTGCAATTTAATGTGAGAGACCAGAACAAATTAGAGCAAAATTTAAAGATTTAGAAAACTTTTGAAAGTTCAAGTACAGCATCCATTTGCATTCAGCCCATTTACAATAAACTACATTAATGTGTGTGGTGGTTTTGTGTCAAAATGTGAAAAAGTGGTGCAAAAAATTCAGTTTTAAAGAGAAAGTTTAAAGATGGTTCACACTAAAGAAGCATTTAGAAACCAGAAATGTGCCATATCCTTTTGAAATGTAGCCAGCAAAGTGTCGGAATTAGAGAAAACATAATCAGAAATAAGCAACTGTCTCTTTTTTATTCAATCATTCATGCTATAAACTTACTGCAACCGCCTTCAGTGACTGCACCACGATCCAGTGGATCTGATCAAACAGCCGGTTTGTCACCTCCTTTCCTCTGGTGCTTTCCAGGTACAAGCGAAGATTACTGACTGTCCACTTTCCCCCGTGAACGTGGTTGTAGTCGTCCTGTTGGAAAACACAGTTAAACCAGAAATGTGATGCCTTTCTGTGAAGATTCAAAAAACTAAAAGAAATATTACGACCTTAAAAAGTAATGAGAAAGTAGTTTTTGATGATGGGAAAACTGTTGTGTCATTCCTACATCCCTGTGTTTGATGAGAGAAAGTCGAAGCCAGTTGCTGTCATTAAAAGCAGGTGTTTTAGCGGTTAGCTAGTCTGCAGGATACAGGTTTGCATTAACATAATGGAACTGTTGTAAATCAGAGATGTTTTCTCGTCATGAACAAAATGTTACTTTATCGGAAGGACCTCCAGCAAAGAGCTGATTTTACTATTTCTGATAGAGTGAAAATGAGTAACAAATACCTCACCACTATGAACTTTACAAAAAAAACAGATGGGGATAAATTGGGGAGAATAATTAGTCAAAGGTGGGATGACTGCTCCCAAAATTTCTGAATAAATCTGAATTTTGTTTCATTGCTGCAACTCTGTATATCTTTATGTTAGAATGTGAATATTATCTACTGCAGGCAGCTGTTTTGTTTGGTTATGCTTGAAAAATGGAAAACAACCAATAAAAACTGAGTTTACTAAAAAGAAACTCAACTGTTTCACAAATTAAGAGAGCTGCTAATCTTGGTAGGAAAGGATTCAAATAACTCTGACCTCAGTCTCTACAGATTTTTTGACATTCATCTAAATGGACGACCATATTTGGTCATCATATGTTGTTGCTTTTGACGACGACTCACCCCGTGTTTCTGAATGGCCACATTAGTGAGATGCACAAACATGTTGTCCAGCTCACTGGTGCTGGGTGTGTACTTCACCGTGCAGAACCGGCAGAACCCCAGTTTGTACCTAACAGATCAGATCAGACTGATTTATTCAAATTCATATTTTCTCTTAAGCACCATCTGATTTCCTGGGTGGGTAATTGACGCATAAACAAGATGTAGTTTTGAAAGGTGCTTACATGTAGCACTTTAACGGCCGATATGTTGTCACCAGAACATAAAGTCGAAGGTCGAACTTCTTCCCGCCAATCAGCAGAGGGTTGTCGATGTACAGAGAGATCACATACGCCTCTTTCCCACTGGATGCTGCAACAAACCTGGAGACAGAGCGGAGCAGCAACACCCACTGAGAATACCATGATGACTCTTTTGTTGTTTTTCTCCATCCAAAGCTTGAAAGGAAACGCGTTTTCTGACTTACGTGGACGTCCGGCTGTCGCGCGACCACTTCTTAATCTGCGATAGCTTGTTGATGAGGAAGATGCCTTTCCCTTGGGCTTTCCCACAGGGCTTCATGATCCAGGTGCTGGACGGATTCTTGCGAAACTCCTCCACGAACAAATTATAATCAGCCGGGAGCATAAACGTCACAGGAACAAAATCTGCACAAGAAAGTTACAAGAAAAACATCAGGACTGTTCACGACTGTACATATATCCACCTCTAGGGAAGATTACCCAGATAAATGTATTTTCCATTCTTGTCCTTCTCTGCAAGCAGACTTCCTTCCTTTTCCAGCTCTTTGCGGTAGCGCTTGATGTTCTTGATCATCAGGTCCTTCCTGGTCAGCTCGTAGTGGTTCGGGAAATGGTTCACCAGCTGCTCATCCGACAGACGGTAGCCGGTGTCCACACTGAACACGTTCCTGATGGTCTGGATGCTCATCCTGCATGTTGGTACACATCAAGTTAAACAGCTTCACTACTGGACCATCTCCCACCAAACAAGTTATAATATTCAATTAATTCTTCCTAGTAAGAGAAAAGAGCATAAACTCCTAATTGAATTTATAAAACCAACTAAAACCAGTCATACTTTAAAGAAACACTTTGAATTAGCTTCAGAAAGAATGGAAACACAAGATAAGGTATGCTTTTTAATTATTATTGAAATAAAATAGCATATTTCCCATTCTGAAGAGTATCTAGGAACCTAGGATAATAAACTTAAACCTCACAGAAAAATAAAGTAATGGATTACTAACATACAAGTTCTTTGAAAAGTGTGCCACACATTTTTATAAATCACTTTTTCTTAGAAATCGTTATATGTTGTATTTTTCTAAAAATGTTAAGTGTTGGAATATTAATTTAGATGTAAGTTCAGGCAGAGCAGCTGTTTACTTTCATCCATTTCCTGCCTTATTTGGACGGCCTGTTCTTTAGGGCAGGAAGGAGACATGCAAAATGAAGAATCATCAAAACACAAACCTCAGGGCAATTTAGAAATACAAATTAACCAAACAGTTATGTTTTTGGATTCAAGATTTTCTATTTAACAATTACTTATTTTCTGTTTTTTCTTTTCACTGTATGTGCATTAAAATTAAAGATAATGATTAGTACTTTGACTTTATAAACAGATATAGAGTGAATATAATTGTTATTTTGCAATTTCTTCCTTGCTTAATTAGCGATTTTTTTTTATTTTAAATTATGTTGTGGTGCTGGAACCTACCAGTAGAAATTCCAGTCCTCGTTTTCTGTCACTTGAACCCATTCTCTTTTTTCAAAGTTATTGATGAGCACTGACTTCTCAATATCTGTCACCCACTTCACCTTCCCGGCCATGGTGCCTTCAAAACATGTCAACAAACACCAGACACTCACCAACATATTGATACAAATACAGCCTGATGTGTGTGTGAGATCATTGAGGATTTATACACACTCAGCTACCTGCAAATCAGTACCAGGAAGCATCCAGTCATCAGCATCGGCTGCTCTCCGTTAGCAGGCTGCCGAATCCTCCCCGGACTGCTGCAGAGACTGGGCGGCCATCATCCGGGTCAGGGATGCAGACTCATCCGACTGTCGTTACAGTTGTGCGGCCAAGCAGCCTGGAAAGCATCCCCCGTGAGCTGGAAGCTAGCGAGCGGACGCCGCCTCCATGTTAGCTGCTGGAGCAGCACTTATTGATTCCGACGACGTGAAGCGGTGACGACAACGCCCAAGACGGCCAAACTACCACGAAGCATTTCTTCGAGCTAAAAACCGGATAATTTCTGTACAACTAGAGAAACACCGCATGATTCACTAGTTGTGAATCATGAACGCGAAAAGGGTGTGTCTCGTGAACGCGAAGAAGATGTGGAGATAAGAGAATAACCTAGCAACGGAGGACGCAGTGACGTCACTACTGGGTGTCATTGCTACGTTTTACCGCAGGGGGTCACTATTTCACCGTTTCTATTTTTAACCACAGGCTGCAGAGTGCTAAAGTATGTGATGGAGAAATTTAATTAAACCTGTCTTTTTGAGAGTACCAATTTGACTATTTGTAATAAACAATATTTGGTTGTCTTTTAAAATGCCTTTGGTTGCATTCGTGGTGAATCGGTGCTATATTAACCCAACCGAGGTGGACTGAACTGATGGTATAGAAAAAGAAAGTTCAATTCTCAGTAAGAAATAGTTGTAAAGTAATATATTTCTTGCCAACATTTATACCAAAATTAATAACTTGAAGTTGTTAATTTTGTTAGTAAATTCCAAATTTTCAATTGGCATTTATCGGGTGTTTTTGTCTCCCCCTAACGGTCAAATTTGCTAGCAGCAGGTAAAGGCGTGGCCAATTGTACTTTGCAGCATTTACCTGAGAGCGACGAGATTAAAGGACGCTGCTGTAAGTCCAAACACCTTTCGATTATTTATTTGATTTTATAACTAAAAAATAAGCTCTAATGATAATGGGTCTTGTGTTTATTTCAGGGCGGCGTCCTATTTAATCTACATTAAAGGTATTTTTACTTTCTTTTTTCCACTGTGAGTGCACCTGTTTACTTGCCAGGGTGGGAGCATTTTACTTTCGACAAACATTCGAATAAAGTATTATTACAAAATGAAACACAATGCGTGACTGAAAATGAAGAAGCTAATAAATGACATGAGTTGAAGGGTTGATATTTAATCCTTTAAGTGCGGTTTTCAAAAATGACCTTTGTTTGTTTGAGGCATGAACGATGACTTCATGTTTTTTGTTATTACTAAAGCAAACCTCTACAGGCGGCTGCAGGGATGATTCCTCTTGTTGAACTCAATTTACGGTATTAAGGGAAATAAAAACTTCAAGTTTACACATATAAAATACATTTTATTATACATTTGTCTAAAAATTATGAACCTATCTAAAGTTTATGGGGATTATCTGAGGTGAGTGACGCTGTATTTCTCCCTGCTGAGTGGAGAAAAGAGCCGTTTGGTTGATTTGGGTTATGGAAATGTGGCATTTGCATTAAGGAGCATGAGAACAACAGGTCTGACCTCCGCTCAGGTGATCACAGGAGGCTAAAAGTAAAACCTGCAAACACAATAGAACAAGTTCTGTTATAAAAACATTATTAGAGCAACACTTTCTAACATAATCGGCTGCAAAAAATTAGGGAAGTGAAACAGCTTCAGTAGACATCAGAAGGATGAAGTCACCACCTCAGATCTTTTTTTTTTCATTATTTATTTTAATTGGACTCTCTCCCTGGTAGCAAGCGCCACCCATCCTGGTCACATGTTCTCTTGTTTACACAGCTTGTTTATGAACGTTAGAAGTCCAGAGATAATGCATGATCACGTGCAAGCTCTTTCCACCCTGCATTGTCAATGTGGTGATTAATCGAAATAATCTGACGAGAACTCATGTGAAAATGTTGCTCCTGCTCAGAAAACACGATGGTGGAACAAACCAGGCGTCCGAACCGTGCTGTGACCCTCCAGGCTGGACCTGGAGAGGTGGCGGACGGGAGCCTCAGGTAAAGTATGGACACTCCCTGCTCCCGTTTCAGTTACTGAGCACATTGTTCCATGTAAACACATCATGTGGGATGAGTTGTACCAACAACAAACACGATGAAGAGAAAAGATTTGACCAAGTCTTCCAAATAGTTGGGTTTTAAAGACGTTTTCTGGTTGGTAGTTAATAATGTTTTCTGTTTTCCTGGTTTAGGATCCGTGACAGAGCAGCGAGGGTCGTTGGTCGACAGCTGGCTGAAATCGGAGACCTTCTGAACCAGGACTGGGCCAGGAGAGATCCAAATCGGCCGCCAACTCCTCTCTACCTGCTGGGACCTGCCCGGACTCTGACACGGATCATCTACAGGTACAAAAACATGTTTTGTTTTGTTTTTATCTCACATTTCTAGTTGGGTATTTATGTTCTTGGTTGTTATCTTGGTTGGTGCTTTACAGGGACCTCCACAACCAGCTGTGGGGTTTCCAGAACCTATGGTCTCCGGTGAAGGCCTGGATTGTCAGCACTACTTCCAGGCCGGGAAACCTCAGAGCAGAGGCAAAGGCAACCTGGGTAATTATTTGATCTTCGATTCAGTGCAGGGTTTCCCCAGAAAACTTGCTAAGCCCGTTGCTCGGGCTGTGAGGGCAGTCATCTAGCCGGCCGCCAGGTTTTTGAGTTAAAATATGTTTAAAGTTGACAGGAAATTTGAAAATATCACAATAGTTATGCGTAGAATTATTCATTCATTTTCAATATCAACAATAACATATTTGGTCTTTGAAACACTCATACTATACAACATATTTTTCAATAAGCTCCTTTTGTGAACAGTTTTTTTATAGATGGCTTATATTTGTGTTTTGGGTAAGCTTTTAATTTAATTTCTTCCATAAATCTACTCCACACTAAAACTCCTTTGTTTTTTTTGTTTTTTTGTTTGTTTGATTTTTGAGAAAAAAGTTACAGATTTCTTGATTTGGGTCTTTAAAGGTGCACTATGTTGACTTTTATCAAAATAATTTTTAGTATTTTTGTTGAAACTGTCACCATGTCATGACAATATGGTATGAGACAGTTAATATGTGAAAAAAAAATCAAAATACTCTGCCTTTTTCCACTGGTAGGTAAAATCAACCAACAAGAAGGCGGGTCTTAGTGCTGTCAATCACCCTAAGTGTAGCACTGCTTATCCCCTCTTGCTCTCTGTGCCCAGCATAGCCCATCATGAATGCTGAAGATATAAGAACTATCCAGTTAACCTTTCCAGATACACTAAAATATTTCTTCCCTTAATGCTGTTTTCTTTCATTTTCAAGGTGAGCAGTTTAAAAGTGGTGGCTTGTCTTGGCTGGACCAGAGGAGCACTCATGACCGTAGCACTTTTGGCGGCAGCAAGCATTTTTGGTGGACTGTGGATGTAAGAGGAGGCCTGGAAAGAAGCCCAAAGAAAGTCTTGAGTATGTTTGATGAAAGGAAAAAAAAAGTTTGCATTTGATTTAAAATTAATGCTGATTTTTGTTTCTGCTGTTTACTTTTCTTTTTTTTTTACATACCATTTTCATGAGCTGTATTGATATTAACGACAGACTGGAAACACCTTCCTTAGAATAAAGCTTGAAAAAATGTGTTGCTAAATTCACTGAAGAACCTCCAGATTGGTTTAACTAAAAAAAAAAGAGTTTCCTGAACATTGTAGCCTGGAAGGCTGTTTTATCATTGCACTGAAGTCAGAAAGCATGTTTCTCATGACAGGACTGTTGCTGGCCTGCAGTCTTTTGCAGTTTCTTACTGGTTTAAGAGGCCAAGGTTTTTACAAACGATGTGTAGCTTTGCTTGTGATGAAATGACGGGAGCTGGACTTTCTGTTGCAGATTTGACGAGGCTTTTTTCCCCCCACGTCTTACAAATAAACTTTAAGATGAGAAAAACCGACTGGCGTGTTTATTTAAAATCATTTCATTAAATACACAGATATACACAATCTTTTCCATCATCAGTCACTTTTCGCTTGCGGTGACGTCTATGTGAGTGTACAACTGAGAGGCCTTCCTGTTGCACTTCTGGAGCGTGACGCCCAGCTGCTTCCCGGGGCCGACCTCGTACGTTTGAGGGAAACTCTCCCCCTGTGTCCTTTCGTAGATTTCATGTAGAACCTGCTCCCATTTCACCGGCGACACCAGCTGCTTGACCAGCTGCTTGCGAACGTGGCTTTCACTCATGTAGCGCTTTCCGTCCACGTTGGAGTAAACCCTGATCTCGGGGCGTCGCACCTGACAGGGAAATAATGTTGAAAAACGAAGCATTTTTAAAAATAATTATTGCGATATGAACAAATCAAATCCAGGGGTTTAGATTAAGTGAAGATACATAGAAATTAAATAAAATGCGCAAAAAAAACGAGTCGCCCGCAGTCCTTTTTGTGTTTTTGATATGGTAGCCGAATAAGGAGGAAAAAAAACATGCAACCTTAATTACTTTATTGATCATAATAAAAACAATTCTACAACTAGTGAAGAGAAAAACATAATAAAATCACATAATTAGCAATAATAAAATGATACTTTTGCCCCTGAGCAGGCCGCTGCCCAAAAAAGAAATACATTTTCTTTGCAGATAAACATTCCTCAAAATAAACTAGTTATGTAGAGCAGCTGGATGAACTGGACAGCTAAAAAAAACTAAATGTTTTTTAAAAAGCAAGTATATAAATTCTTTATATACAAAATTTGCTTGTTTATTATGTCAGGAAAATTATGTCTAATCAGAAATAAGTAACTTTATTAATTGTAATATTTTTTTTCTTAATAAAAATGTAACTGTTTAAACAATGTAAAAAATGAAGACCATTTGTTTGTAATTAACTTGGGGAACAAACATTTTCTTACTCATTAAACATATTCATAACTCAAAAAATGTGATTTCATTTTATTTTATCCTCCTGCACATAAAACAGCAACATTAAACAGGAGATTTTAAGGCATATTTTCCCTTCAATTTTAATTTGTCTGCAACAGAAAAAGCATCAGAAGGGGTGAAATTAAAAGAACCAGAGTAATCAGAACAATTAGAAAACTGTGGATGTAATAAAGCACAAGTGCAGCCTGGAGTGTAGGAAACGTTTGCTGACTGACCTCCACCTGCTGCAGCACCTCTCTTAGCGGTTTGGTAGCCGACGCCATCAGCTCGGTGTGGAATGCTCCGCTAACTGGGAGAAGTTTGGCCCTGATGAACTCTAGACTGCGCGAGTTCTCCTGGAGGAAGTCCAGGGCCTAAACAAAACCCAAAGTCACATCAATGTTGCACTTGTGCCAAATTTACAGCTGAACATCGCTGGCTCGTACCTGCATGTGCCCTGCAATGACCCTGCCATCTGGGAATAAATAGTTGGCCACGGAGCAAACGGGGTCCTCAATCCCTAGACTCTTGCAGTGCTCTCTGGCTTGAAGGCAGGCGTATTTATAATGAGCCTGCGGTCTGCCGACAACCGACAGCATCCCACTGGGAACCAGTTCAGAGGCTTTTTGCATGGCCTCTGCACGCACCTTCACTGCATACAAAGCTAGAAGAACAGCAAAAGGAAATACATTAAAACTTTAAGAATCTGTTGTCAGACTTTCACTATATTAAATCATCTTTGATAAAAAGTGATGCTTACCTTCTGAAAAGTTCATGGCTCCAGCAAAAACAAGAGCAGCGAATTCACCAACGCTGAAACCTGCAGCCGCGACACACGTCTCAATAGCCTGTTGAGATGGGAGGAAAATACACACAAATCAGGGATTCCCCTATTTCTATTGTATTGTAAGCCTGGCGGGCTCCCAGCCTTTACATGTCCCCCACCAGGCTTAGGATTGCTTATTTATTTAAGTTTTTTTTTAAAGTTTGTATCTTTAAGACTTTGTAGTTGGTGGTCAGATATTAATCTTCCAACCTTCCAATAAGAGACAATTATCAAGTGATAATTTCAAAATTCCTGTCAACTTTAAGCATTGTTTAACTCAAAAACACAGTGGGCCGCTGGAAGAATGACTACTGCACCCAACCACTGTGCTTAGGAAGTTTTCTCGAAGAAAACTTTAAAATATCAGTAATGCATGTTTTTATACTTCTTGCCAATCTGATGGCATCATTTTTAAATATTAAATGCGATGATCTGATGAGTTACTCAAAACTTGAGAAACCTTGTCACATTTTTTCTTTCTTGAGTAATTTCTCGGACGCTTACTTATTACATTTACTTGAGAAAAATAGGTGAAAACTAAAATGTATTTCTACTTTATCTTGAGTTAAACTTGAAGTAAAGGGAATTAAACAAGCGCGTAAAGTTAGTGTGACCTTTGGGTTTTCGTGGTGCAGCTTCTCCACTGCAGCCAGAGAGGTGACGAACACCGCCGGCTGACAGTGCACCGTCTTCAGCAGGTCCTTCTCCGGCCCCTCCAGGCACAGTGTCAGCAGGTCGTAGCCCAGAATCTTCTGCGCTACGGAGAACATCTCTTTTACGTTGGGGTACTTCGTCAGTCCTTTCCCCATACCCACAAACTGGCTACCCTGCCCGGGGAAGAGAAGCACGGAATGGCCCCTGGGGTCCTTTCTTGGTCTTCGCACCTTGACCGCAGGCAACTGGCTCTCCAGGGGAGAGTCCGGAGGTCCAGCCTGCTCCTGGGTGGACAGTCTCCGGCTAAGACAGACCACCGGTCTGACTTTCCCTCTGAAGGCGGCAGCCATTCCGACAACCTTCGGTGCTAGCATGAGTTAGCTCTGAATAAAACCAACTCCCAGCTGGCTTTAACCATCTGCAGAACTAACACAACAGTCAAAAATAGTTCAAACTGAACTGTTTGCTCAGCTCGGCGTGACAGCCATAGGGAGCAGCCATGTTGTTTAGAAAAATCGGTCGGTTTTGCTTCTCTTCCGGTTCACGATCCGGTGCTTCCGCTCTGCAGCGCCCGCTCTGGCCAAAAAAATACTCCGCGTCACAGTTACAAACTTAATGCCTGAATTTAAAATTTGTATCGGTCAGAAATAATTATTGATGTTGTGGAGAAGATTAAAGAAAGCACTCAAAAACACTCAAAAATTGTAATACGGGCTTATAAAGAATATATCTCACAAACCTAGAAACCAATTAGACTCCAAATTAGATTTCTAATTTACTCAGAAACAGGTGATTATTCACAAGAAATGGAGGAGGAAGCTTTCATCACCATTAATCTTCCTGCATGAAACGTATACTGAGAATGAAACAAGTAAAGCCTCACCAATTAGTCACTTTCTGAGATAAAATTTAAGCAGTGTTGCGGTTTTATTCATTTTTAAGCTGAATAACATGAGGAAGTTGTGGCCAAAACGTGGACAGAAAGTTTGTTTTTCACAATATTACCATTTCAGTGCTGGATCTTATTGTCACTTGTCTTCATAAAGTTAAACACTAAACATTTCAAGGTTAATATGTTTTCAATGGATTTAAAAATTATTAAATTGAAACAGTATAATCTGTGAAAAAACAAGATCTCAGTCTGAAAACCATTTGACGTAGCTGCAAAATGTTCTCTGAACTTTCTTTGGAAAACAATTAAACTTTTGCACACTACATGTTCGTCAAGATGTAATCTTGTTTGTTCAATAACAAAAATCTTCTAAAACAAAAAAACAAGACGGTAAAACATCTTCATGTTTGCATCACATTATTTCCACCAGACGACAGTTGAGGATTTAGCAAAAGAAAACCAGTAACAATACATTCAGACTTTTAATTTAAGCGACAAACATGAGAAACTTTTTAAAATCCTCCAGAGAATTTATTGTAGAAAACTTAGCATTGCTCGGTGCCAATCAGATTGTGACTTATGTTGTCATCATCGCTCTCTATCTTTACACTCAAAATATAACAAATATGATTCAATGTTTTCTGCAGGAAGAACATTTCTGCTTTAACAGCTTTCAGAAATAGTTTTTGTATCTTTCTTTCCAAGGAGTTCTCTCTGTGATTCATCTGCACTCCATCCTCTTCTTATTTGTTCGTCTACAGAAATTTCCCAAGGTGCTGCTTTTAAGAAAAAGCTCTTTGTACACTTTCTGTTACGTTGTATTTATTACATTACATTCTTGAGTAATTCAAAGTATTGCTCTATTTTAAGATAAATTACAATTGAAATGTGATTAAAACTCCTAGCATCCTGATTCCTCTGAGAGGCAGTTGGCCTCCAGCTGCACCTCTGATTCGTCTCCATCTATCCTGTTATTCTGTTCGTTCCTTATCTTATATTTACAGATGAACTCATTGCTGGCCAGGGCTCCTTCTTTTTTGGGACAAGTATATTTTGACTGAAGACGACTTTCCAAACGCTCTGCAAAAAAAAAAAAAGATTTTGTTTTGATCAGACAGTTAATTTTGTAAAATGTTCATAAACATTTAATTCAAAATGAAGATGTTAATTAACAAGTAATATTAGATATGATTCATTGGATTGGTTGAGTCTATCTATCTATCTATCTATCTATCTATCTATCTATCTATCTATCTATCTATCTATCTATCTATCTATCTATCTATCTATCTATCTATCTATCTATCTATCTATCTATCTATCTATCTATATCTATCTATCTATCTATCTATCTATCTATCTATCTATCTATATCTATCTATCTATATCTATCTATCTATCTATCTATCTATCTATCTATCTATCTATCTATCTATCTATCTATCTATCTATCTATCTATCTATCTATCTATCTATCTATCTATCTATCTATCTATCTATCTATCTATCTATCTATCTATGTATGTCTGGATTGAATTTGATTCTATAAAAGTGAGCACAAACTGGACTTTAGCTTTAGCATTTCTTGATTAGACATTTTATAAACAGATGATTTGAGGTTTTTCATGTGAAAAGATTAATATTTATGAATTATTTAAAAAAATAGAAAGTAACTCAGCAAAATTCACTCACAAGTGGGCACCTTTTGTGACATACATAAAATCTCTGCCTTTATGATGTATAGATTGATGTGACTTACCCATCATGTCATGTGACTAAAATCTGCAGAATAATCAAATAAAGTGTTGTTGCTTTTTAGCTTCTCGAGGCTGTCCAACCCCCCCTCAAACGCCCTCTGTTTTTTTTTTTTTTTTTTTTTTTTATTTTATAATTGTTTTTTTTATGTAATTATACGTACTTGGTTTTGTTTTTGATATGTCTGTATGGGGATTTATGTTTGCTATGTGTTAAATGGGGAAAAAAATAATACAAAATTGGAGAAGTCATGTAAGCTTTGCAAAATGTATGTAAAATGAATGTATGTTCTCCTGCTAAACAAATAAAGAAAAAAAAAATAGAAAGTAACTTTTCTTGAACTTTAAGAATTTTTCCGTTGTCATTTTCATTGTTAGTACAATATTGTTGTTAAGTCCAGGCATTAAAAAATTTCCAATGCGGGGAAGTCATTTCATACCTGCAGGAGTGATCGGCGTCATCAGGCGGTTCAGTTGGACATTCCAGTGGCGGACGTGCTGACTGGCATTTCTCAGCCTCTCCTGCATCTCCTGGAAATCCAACAAGGTTTCACGTCTGTGCCTTTTTCCCCCCAAATCTAACGTGTTTCACTCCATGTGTGTTTCTTTTGTCACCTCAAGGTGCTGATGGCTCCTCTTACGAGATGCCTGCAAATTTCGGAGCTCCACGGAGGCCGAGTAGAGGGCGGACGGCGTGGCCTCGTCCACCATGCCGTTTGAGGATTCGCATGTGGAGCTAAGGCGCTGTAAGATCTTCTCCTGTTCCTGGAGGACCTGAAACTGCCTCTTCTTCTCCTCTTCAGCCTCCAGCAACCTGAGGAAAGGAAGGAACAGAATGTCTCCATCAACACATTTCTACAAACACGATTATAACGTGAAGTAAGAACGCTAAAGGAAACCTCTCCAGCTCCAGTCGGGCCCGCTCCTCCTCCAGCCGAGCCTGGATCTCCATGTTGAGAGCTGCTTCCAGCTTCTGCTGCGTCAGCTCCAGCTCCTGGATCCGTCTCTTCTGCTGCTCGGCCTTCCTTTCCTTCTCCTGGATCTCAGCCTGCATGCTGTCCCTCATCTGGACACAAACACATATATTGGAGCAAACCGACGCTTTAACAGTCATACATCTTTGAAAAGCATTAGCAGAGCCTCCTGCACAACCAACAAAAATGCAGCAAGAGATTTCTGGATGATAAGTCGGCAACAAAACATTTTTTATTGTTTTTATTTTACATCTAACAGCTTTTTGAGTTTTGTAACTTTTGACAAACCATTTCAGCCTCCTTTAGCTGTCTCTCCAGATCCATCTGCACCTCCCTCTGCTTCCTCCTCTCCCTCTCCTCCGACTCCCTTCTACGGATCTCCAACTCTCGTGCATGCTGCAAAACACAGAAGGTGAAGCACAACAAAATCCCCAAAGCGTAACGATGACAAAACGCCGCCTTCTGCTCCATCTTACCTGAATGATGCTCTCAATTTCCAAATCCTGCTTCTCTTTCTCCATCCGCTCCATCTCTTGGAAGTTGGAGTCATCTGATTGGCTGCTCCGGCTGCTGCAGCTGCTCCGGGTGCTGCGGCTGCGCTCCCGGTTGCTGTGTTCTCGCTGAACGCGTCGCTTCAGCTTCAGCTCCTGGTGGAGGGAGGATTTACCCTCACGCTGAAGACGGAGGGCTGTTTGAATAGCTGCAGAGGTAAGAAAACACAGATGAAGATGTTTCATTTCAGTTTTAGTTGAGCAGGAAAAGATTTAAGTGAAAAAAACTATTTCAGTATTTCAAAGTGCTTTACCCAATAAAATAAAAAATGTAAAAGTCTTAGAGCACACAGTCAACAAGTGAAGCATGTTTGATTAAAGTTTCATTGCTAATGTTAAAATCAGCTGGGATTTTAGAGTTGATTTAAAGGAACTCAGTATTTTGGCTACTTTACAGTTTTTGGGAAATTTGTTCCAGATTTGTGATGCATAGAAGCTGAGCGCTGCTTCTCTATTTAACAGTGAAAGGCTTTCGTGAAATTTTTACAAGCTTTTGTGTCCTGCTTAACCTCATTTAGTTTGGTTATCTATTTACTGTTCAGGACATTCACCTTTCCAGACTGAACGTTTTGGGGACAGTCCAGCCAAATTTGCAGCAACGTAACTCCGCCACACTTTGCACTGTCTGAAAAATCCCAACGGTTTCTAAAAGGGGAGATGTTTCCAGTAGAGACATATCAGTTATTACGGTAATTTCCCTCCCGCTGTAGCAGGGTGTGAAATTTGTGAGGGAGGCTCTTTTACGGTAATTTGCGAAAACAACTTGCTAGAAATAGAAAGTTTCTGTTTTTCTGCAGAAATGGGCAAATATATTTCTTCACCGGACATTTAAATAACTTTGTACAATTAAAATAATCAAAAATATCCAGACAGAGATTTGAATCTTAGGTCATAAAGGGTTAACTTATTTACAAAAAACAGCTGGGAGTTTTTTTAAGTAGTAGATCCACAAATGGAAGTATAAAAATGTGCAACATGTGAATTTTGCATAAAAGCTCCCCTTTAAACAATCATTCCTGGTCAGATACTAAACGCATAGATTTAATTTGACCTTTCTGCTGACTGACTCTCACACACCTTGAGTCCACTCCACCTTCTGCCTCTGGTCAGAAGCGCTCATCTCGTAGGTTTTGCTGTGGGTTTTCACACAGAACAGGCAGCGTTTCCCCTCCCTGTCTGGAACAGGCTGAAGCAGAAGGGAAAAGAAGAAAGCAAACAGACTTAGACTCTGATAACGTCTGTATGTGATCGCAAATTCTGGGCGGATCAAAGTTCTGCCGGAGATGTTTTCTCACCCACCTCTACAACGCAGCTCCTGTCCAGCTGGATTTCCCCTCGCTTGTCTTTTAAGTCCTCGCTGACGTAATAGGCCATGGAGGAGGACCTGAGCACAAACCAGCGCTCCGTCCAGTTCCTGCGCATGTGGCCCTTTTTCCACATGTAACCCTGTGAAACGGGGCAGCACACTCTGGGTCAAATGT